AAAGTCATGAAGTTCTGGAAAATACTTGAACACTGCTCGCTGTCGATGAAAACATAGTAAACCAATCATCATTTACCTATTCTGAAATAGGAGTACATGAAATGAACACTTTGGGGTACGTACACATTTAAGGTTACTTCAAACTTTCGCGGGGCTACTTTTTCCAAATTTTCTTTTTTCCAACCAAATTAAAGTTCATTATTCAAGGTAACAGTTTCCAAAAAACGAAAATAAAATATTAAAACGCGCGCGAGTTATTGGGAAAAGTTATTGGGCAAGTTACCTGCAAAGATGCCATTTTGTTGTAATGAATGTCAACCATCTCATGGTCAGTCAGCGCCATTCCTGTGAACAATCAGCAAAAATGATTCACACTATTATCAAATTAAAATGACATTACTTTTTATAAATACACTGCACAAAACTTTATTAACAGCCAGTTGCTTCAGGATGGTAATTCCTCTACCACCTTACCTCGAAGGTCTCGGCAAGTTTGCGTTTATCTGCACCTTATTTAATAATTAAAAATATTTAACTAAGATTAGAAAAGCGACATTAGCAAATAATATAAGCAATATTTTAAAAAGCTGTTACCTGTAACATCATTTATTTCAAAACCAGTGTAGAATTTCAACATATCCAGTAGCTGTTAAAGGGAATGACCACATTTTAGAAAGAGCAATTGATGCATTTGATTTAAGTAAATTCTTCGAGATTTTTATCCACTTACTTGTTTAAACAACCTTCCTTCAGATTCTCTTTTTACCAAAGCCGAAAGATGACACTTAACCTATGAAATAAATGCAGAAGTTTACCAAACATAAACTTCAATATATATGAATAATGATTCTGATTTTGAAGGTTCATGTAATAATGAAAACAGTTTTTATTAATTTTAAGTATAAGCACGTTGCATTTACATGTCTGTGTTTTTGTGATACTGCTACGAAGATTAAAAAGATAAATTGCAGGATCATCCTTTATGACTGGTACACAATACTGCGAATGGACACTAATAATAAGGAAATTACTAAGCTAACTTCCCAAGACTAGAGCCTAAAGAGAAACGTGTCCAGGCATACAACCTTCTTCCTGACTTGTGCTATCCACAGATTGTTTTTAGAATGAAAAGTGTGCATGATTCTGATAATGATTTATTAGAAGTACAGATTGTACTTACCACAAGATGATGATCATCAACCAATGTGTTAAAGAATCTTCTTGTTGGTAACAATGCCTGCCATAACAAACAGGTCAATGAGTTATGTTGCATGTTGTTCATAACTATAAAGATGACAACAGACAATTACGTTTTTACCAACCCTCAATTCCGATGTAGCTAGGAAAACACTATACACACTAGTCTTCCTAAACAATTTTTCATATTATATTAGTTCTATTTGTTTAACAAAATTTGGCACATTTTAACTTAGCAAGTTTGCTGTTCAAGAACTCAGATATTGAAAAGGAAAACGTGCCATTGAAAAGCAGTATAGTTGTTCGGAAATTGCTGAAATTAGCAGGAAACGAATTAAGAAAAGTATGATATGTTCTGGAAGATTCTGATAAAGGGAAATTCAGCGTTGAAGATAAACTCATGCAGGGAACTTCTTTATAATGTACTTTTGTATGTGTACAGTATGTAGCATTTAGAAAACAGCCCTAAAATACGCGCGCTGATTGGTTAAAAATCGTGTCTCTATAACTCGATTGAAACACAGAACTAGCACGAGCTGTTGACGTAATGATGGCGCGAGCAAAGAGAATTTACATTTTGATGATCAAAGTAAACAAGTTGTTTTTCTTTTTTTCGTCCCGGTGTTTTCTAAAAGAAAGAGAAAACATGTTCTCCGTGTTTCTATCGAGTTATAGAAACACTCGTGAAAGTTTGGGAGAACTCCAAAAAGCTGTGGAAACACTCGCCTGCGACTCGTGTTCCCACAGCATTTCTCGTTCTCCCAAACTTCCACTCATGTTTCTATAACTGGATAGGAACACGGTACCTGTTTTCTATTTCTTAAACAGAGTGGTGTTGTAATGTAAAATGAATTAAAGGTTCAAATGCTTTCAAACTAGTTTATTTGTGTTTTCCCATGTTCTTGTTTAATTGTAGGATTAACATAACATATAATGAACAAAGGGAAACAAAAATCATACGGGTAAAAAGACCTTTGAAATTAAAATTTGGAAGGGAAACTTGCCGTTTGTTCACACAGCCAAATAACATTGTCAAAGATAATATTATTGTTCAGTTTGTGTGTAAGTTACATGGTACATGATATTGTGTAACTCAAGGTACAAACCAACGGCAGATCTAGGGGGAGGGGAGCAGGGTGCTTGACACCTCCCCACCCCCACCCCCCCACCCCCCTCCCATAAGCAAACATTTTAAATTCTGAAGTGCTGGCAATATTTTGGGAGTCTAACTTAATTTAAGGCCCGAAGTGCCAGAAATATTTTGGGGTTGCCACCCTGTCAAGAGGTTTGGATCTACAATACCACAGCCACCAAACGGATTTGGCAATATATTAAAGTATATTGCTCGTGCTCACTAGCTAATGCTTGCATTGTTTGCTTGCTTGCTCGCTCACTTGGTACTACTTGATTTTGTTGTTCAAGAATTTCTAACAGCATAATTAATCAATACCTCTAGGTCTACCAAAAGTTCCAAGAATCTCTCGCAGTAGTGGACTTTATCCATGTCTACAGAACCTGTCGGAGATGATAAAAACTGATGCTACTTAGTACTAGTAGATGTCGTGAACAAAATGCATTAGAGGTTAAGGGGTGGGGTCAAGGAGCAAGGAAAAAATGGAACTCAAAACATACATGTATATCTAAATGATACATTTCAAACTTTCCATATTTCTCAGAATTGCTACAACTGATACTTGTAAATAAGTGAGCTTGTAGAGTGCGTGACATGCTACATTGAGTGTGTGACTGTGAGTTCGTTTACTACGATATATGCTGGGATTTTGTCGAAGATGAACCATGAGCTCGGAAATTGTTATGTAAAAGTGCGGAGCTTGTGCTTGACAATAAAACGTTTTTCTAGCTTGATTGGTGCTTGTAACAAACAGTAATTACACATAATTCACTTACAATGTTATGATAGCAAACACAATCAACAAACTATACTCAGCACAATCATGATGACACCACGTGATGTATATACAAACAGACATCCAGCTGGATGTAAGGAAGTGTTTTCTGCTTCAATTAACTTGTTCCTCAACACCGTCAAATGTACATGTAGTTTAGCCAGCTGGTCTCCAAAGGGCAGATAACATTATCTCAGCTATATGCCAACTCTCCCAAATTAGCCGGAACTCTCCCGCATACAGACCAAATCTCCCAGTCTCTTGTATGGATCACCAAACTCCCAGACAATACGAAGAAAAGCGCATGAAATACATATTTCCTGAAGACATATTTTGGCCGATTTTTGGCATTTTGGAGATAACATTTTGGGATATTTTTAGCATTTTTGTGATTGAATTGGCAAGAGCTCTATATTAGACAACTTTACTATGGTCAAGGTAAAATTGGCATCTCCCGTATTTTGAATTTTTTAGGTTGACATCTCTGTTATCTGCATCATGTGATCCACCAGATCACTATCCATTGGATAGAACGAACAAGAACGCAACATTATCTACTAGGTACTTGTTTACTGGCAGATACTGTAGCATTACCATCCTTTGAACAACCAGGGCTTGATAAATTGTTATCCTCTTGACAAAGTATTTCTTACCTGTCTCTGAAATAGAGTCTAATATTCTCAGAAACTTTTGAACAAGGTTTGACAAGTATTTTCTCTCTTTCTCGTGTCTAAAACAAAACAAATAAGTAAAATATGTTAAGAGTAATACGTGTATATGCAACTTCATAA